GTCGAGCAGCTTCTTGGCGCTGGCGGCGCCGTAGCCGGGGAACACCTCCTGGAACGCGGCAGCCTCGCCCATGTAGTTGAAGGCATCGAAGAGACCGGCCGCCTTGGTCGCGTCGTTGATGGCCTTGGTCGTGCTCTCGACCCACTTGTTGACGGCGGCCTCGTACTTGGCCGAGCGCCACTCGACGACCTCGGCCCACGCCATGAGCGTGCCCTTGTTCTTGACGTCGATGCCGAGCGCGTTGCCGCCGGGGTTGGCGCGCGCCGACGCCGACTGCCACAGCGGCGTGATGGGCTGCCAGTTGATCGAGACGAGCACGAGGTCCGCGATCGGCACGGACGCGTACAGCGACGGCAGCTGGCTGATGAAGACGTCGTGCGAGATCTGGATGCCCTCGAGGAGCTCGTTGTAGTTCTTGCCCACGGTCGAGCCCGCGACGAAGACGTCGTTGATCTGGTCGACGACGAGGCCGCCGACCTCGACGGCAAAGTCGGCCACCGTCTTGAACGCGAGCGTGTTGGCAATGGCGGGGATGGCGAAGAACGGCTCGAAGCACGCGGGGCGCGTCTCCGTCTCGCTGTCGTAGAAGAGAATCGCCGAGCCCACGCTGTTCTCGGCGTCCGAGGGCACCACCATGGGCACAATGTGCGACAGCGGGTCCGTGTTGAAGGCCGAGTAGTTGGCGATGGCCTGGAGGAACGCGTCAATGTGGTCGCCGCCCACCGTGTAGGCGCCGGCGAAGACGCGCTTCGAGGGGAACGTGCGCAGCGTGAACTTGGTCACGATGCCAAAGTTGTTGCTGCCGCCCTTGAGGGCCCAGAAGAGATCCGTGTTCTCCGACGCCGACGCCTTGACGACGCGACCGCTCGACAGCACGACCTCGTACTCGAGCACATTGTCGGCGGCCCAGCCGGCCTGGTTGCCGTAGAAGCTGACACCGCCAGCGAGGAGGAGACCAGGCACACCGACGGGGGCGAGACGACCGCCAGCGACGGCGACATCGTACTGCTCGAGGTACTTGTAGACGGCACCCCACTTGTAGCCGGGACCGACCTGGACGGACTTGCGGTCCGAGGAGACGGCGAGGGTCGTGAGGTTGGACAGGACCATGAGGACACCGTCGTCGATGCTGTTGAAGCCCTTGATGGCAGTGTGGGCGCCGCCGCGGACGGCGAACTTGGTCTGGGTCAGACGGCTGTTGAGGATGCCGGCGGACACGTCCTCGGCGTTGACGGGGCGGAAGATGCACTTGGGGTTCATGAGCTGCGTGTTGGACCAGAAGGCCTTGTTCTCGGCCTCGTAGACGGCGTCGCCCGGGTAGAACACCTTGGCCGGGTGCACGAGCTTGAGGGCCGCGCAGCCGAGGAAGGAGAGGGTGCGGGGACCGATGTCTGCCTCGCGCTCGTAGTGGACGGCGGGCGTGACACCGGCGAGGGCCGCCGCGGCGGCGTAGCCCAGGACCATCAGAGACTTCATGTTTCCGAGCATGTCTGCTGCTGCTGTTGCTGCTGCTTGTCGGTGGGGGATGCGGAAGAAGAGCAGGTGAGGCGCGAGACGCGGCTGGACGATCGGAGCAAGCGTTTGCTTCGGTCAAGGGGGGCAGATGATGGACAAGGACGAGACAGGAAGTTGAACTCGATGTCTCACACGCTCACACACACTCTCTCTTCCTGACGCATGGCAAGAGGCATCTCGGAACCTGGGGTGTGACATGCGTCTTAAAGGGAATCCTGCGGCCCTCTCCTCAGACGAGCCAATTACTACATCGAGTACAGAATATTGACTGCAGGAAGCACCGGAGATGAGGAGATCGTGTGCCTTGGCCGGATTCCAGGAACAACGCCGATGTTGCGGACTTAGCCAGCACCAACTGGCGTGGCGTATGCCGCCGAACCTGTAGTATCGCTGATCGGGGGGACATGGCCTCTGCAGGGGCCTGGCAGTATTCTGCCCTCGTGGAGAGCTTATTGCTTATAGCGCGGAGGGCCGCAGCAGCAGCGCAGCGGAGGACCATGAGATATTCGTACTATGACAGGGTATGAAGCCCAGGTACCGTACGTGGGCCCCCTGGCTGGCCCCGGCTTCTTCTGCGCCGGCTGCATGTGATGATTGCGACCTGCAGCCCCATCTTCTTGTCATGCTTCTGCAAGGAGAGCGCGGCGGACAGGGGAGTGTCCAGGCCCTGGACGGCCGACCTGCCGAGTTGGTAGGTCGATGGTCGGTCGACGGCCTTCGCAGAACCCCCGAGGCACTCAAAAAGAAGCACCACTGATCAATGGATTCATCGGTAGCGGGGTTCCTCTTGACACTCAAGTTGGATGTTGTTTTGTCAGCCGATGGTCGTTGGCTTCGTTGGCTGTTGGTGGTTGTTCCATTTGAGTTGGTCGTTGGTTCAATGTTTATCTTGCTCTCAACTCCCGATCACACCACATGAAGCGCCACATCTCCCACCCGGCCCGTTCGTTCGCTCGTTCCCTCCCCTCATCTTCCCGTGCATCTGGTTCAGATCTGTGCCAGCGACTCAGGTTTCCTTCTTGCCCTTCCCACGCGACACAGCAAAACCCGCCCTGCCCAAGGTAACACCTCCATGTGGCAGCTCACCTGAGTCCCACGGCCCCGGTATTACAGAATCTTTACTGCCGCAATGCGCCCCTTCTCTCCACGCTCCACCATCAGACGATGAAAATACGCACTGATGACAATAACTGGGGGTGCGCTATCAGCGGGCCGCACACGTCTGTCCACTTAGGTAGACGCGCCGTTTTTGTTCTCTGTGGGCTCTAGAAAATCGACGGCGCCCGTTCTCTAGCCCTGCCTCCCGAGGCCGCCGACCCTCCGCTCTCTCCCCTGGCTCACATCCAGCAGGGCCCTTCCTCGGGGAGAGAGGGCGAGGGAGCTTCAGGGTTTCGCAACCTTCGCATTGCGCCATCCGCCGAGGGGTGGCAATGCCACCTCCACTGCTTCAGGCCAGGGGGGGGCGGAAGGCCGCTGAGGTACTTGTAAATCTCACGACGCCTGGAAGGGGCCATCTCCCGTCCCATGCCGGAATCGATTCCGGGAGGGGTGCGCTGGGCTGATTGGCGTGGGCCGTCACTAGAACCGGGGGAAAAGGTCGACCTCGGTTGCAGTGCCGACAGGGATCAGGCTTGCAGCTCCCCATTCGCCATGCAGGGGCTTTCGTGTGGTTCTTCGTAGCGACCCCTGGCCACACAGCACAACATTGATTGCCCCTCTTTCACTTCTGGTCTCTCTCTCTCTCTCTCTCTCTGTGTGTGTGTGTGTGTGTGTGTGTCGTCTCTCCTACCGGGGCTCGTTTCCCAGAGGCTATCGAGAAGAAACAAAGTTCATGTAGTCGGGAGGCCAAGACTACGGTGTCTCAGCTGAGGTCCGGGGGAGACATTCAGCACCGCCGGGTCATCTAATGACTTGTCTGTCTTTTCCTTCCATTGAGCCCTTTATGGGTCCTGTTCGCAGGTCTCCATTGCCGAGTATCAACCAAGTCACCAGACATTGACCATTCCCTTGGATCCGTCAGAGAAGTGGCTACCCCTCGGATCATATCAATCTCCACAGAATCCGGTGGGTGATCTGAAGGAGACCCCTGATGCTGGACTGTATGCATCAATTTCTAGCAAACAAGCCCCCGCCTATCTACAAGGACACAAACACTGCTGGTTGAGACGAACAGAATGAAGCTTGGCGTGTCGTCCTTCCAATCGGCCGACACGGCTTGATCCCGGCCTGCCTGAGTATGGCATGATTTTTGTATGAAGAATGGAGACGGTTGACGCTTGAGCTTGTCCGGGTTTTGCCTCTGCACCCATCACGATGGAACAGGCCGAACACCAAAGCACGCGGCCAGACCCGTGCCCCCATTTTCATCTCGTATCATCAGAGATCATGGCAATCGGCCGAGAGGGAGGCAGACCGGTCCTTCCTAATCTGCTCACCTCGAAGCAAGGACGTCTCTCTCGGCGACGGGCTTCGTAGCAATGCCGAGGGTCGTCAACATGCAGCCCACGCCTCTACCTTACCTTAGCTGATACAAATCACAATCCGCGGCAGACGCGGACCGACAGGTTGGTCGGGGGCCGCTTTTTTCTTTTCTTCCCATCCTCTCTTCACCATGGGGCGCCTCTCGTGCCCCATCCATCTGTCTCCAACATGAGCACTACCATAGACGGCGAGCCAAGACCTGCCAGACCAGTTCTTGGCCACCACGAGGGATGACTCCGACGATATGCGGTACGACGCCTGCACAGGAAAGTCTCCGTACAATGTTACATACATGCTGCACAAATACCACCTCGGTCCTCCTTGGCCACTCATGCCCCTGTCGTGGCGTGCCTTAGCTCACCAGGACGACATCGCTCTACGTGGGAGGTCGTCCGTCATCTTCGCAGAGGGAACCATGCGAAGACAGCCATTCTCTTCTTGCCTCTGATCCTTCACAGCACGCAAAAGAGCCGGGCCAGGGGGGGGGGCACCGCAGCAACGGTATCCCATGGCAAGGTTTGTGCGCCGGCGCGCGCGCATGACCGCCCATTACGGAGCGCAGAGCGATCGAGAAGGGCGGGCTGACAGGCCCAGATGAAGTGTTTCCTCTCAAAGCAGAAAAGGCTGAGAGGAAGCCGTGTTTTTAGCTCGCGGTCTAAGGTCAGGTACCGCGCCCTACTGTATCACACAGACGATCTGCTAAGTCCCCGGGAAGAAGGGTCAAGGGCGGGACTGTCCCCCAAAAATATACAAACGGTCGGCAGTTCCCTCGCCGAGTACGAAGGCGCTCGTCTCGAAATCTTGTTCCGCCCTCTCTCTCTCTCCCTCCCCTTCTTGTTCCTAATTCCCCCTTTGTTCCCATCCTGTGCCTTGGTTTGCCCACTTGACTATTTGGTCCTGGCCTTGCTTCTCTGGGTTCCTCTGTCCATCATCGACCGAGGACGTTCTTTTCGTCAGCGCAACGGCAACTGTTTCTTGTTGTCCTCTTTCCGCAGTTGGACACCATGTCGATGCAGGATGGGGTTATGTACGTTGCGCCCGTGCCGGAGGGCTATGTGCGTGATCCGACTGCGGCGCCACAAGTGACTGCGCTCATGATCGTGTCGGGCATCAGCTTTGCCTTGGCCGTTCTTTCGACAGTCGCGCGGATCTGGACAAGAGCGGCCATTATCCGCATGGTCTCCCTGGATGATTGTACGTTGAGCACCCCTGCTTTACGGATTTTGGCATGGTCTTCTGAGGCTGACTCGCGTTTTCCCTAGACATCATGATCGGCGCCCTGGTAAGTCGAACCTTATCGAAACTTAAAATGTCGTTCGAATATCGTCTAACAAGTTGCAGCTCTGCGGCACAGCCCTCGTCGCCTTTGTGTGGCACAGTAAGTCTCGATACCATGACATCGACCGACAAGCGGTATACTGATCCATGATGTTTGTAGTGCTCAACTGGGGCCTCGGAAAGCACCTTTGGAACGTGCCCATGACGCCCGACTTTTATCCCAACTTTATGCTCACGAACGTGCTGGCGGCCATCTTTTTTTGCCTTGCAACAGGCCTCGCCAAGGGCTCGATCCTGCTCTTTTATCTGCGCATCTTCCCCTCGCGCAAGATGGTCTGGACCGTCTGGGTCCTCTTCGGCTTCACCGTCGGCTACTCGCTCGCCTGCGCCCTCGTCAACGTCTTCAGCTGCAACCCGATTGCCGGATCGTGGGCGCTTGAGCATGCGACGACGGCCGTCTGTATCAACCGGCCCGTCTTCTACTTTGTGCAGGCGAGCCTGGGCATCTTCACCGACATTACGACCGTCGTGTGCCCGCTGCCCGTGCTCAAGACGCTGAGGCTGCCGCTGAAGCAAAAGATTGGTGTTGCCGTGGTTCTGTCCATGGGTGCCCTGTGAGTATTCTTCTGGCTACTCGTTGCGCTGCCAAAGAAGAAAGCATCTTGCTGACGGCTTGATAGGGTCTGCATCATCAGCGTGATTCGTCTGCACTCGCTCTACATCCTGCTGAAGGAGACCGACCTCACGAGTGAGTCCCTTCCGGAGGACACCGCGGAGAACATGGCGCGCGCTAACAAAAAGCAGTGAACACGGTCACGGCCCTCATGTGGTGCATCCTCGAACTCAACCTTAGCATCTTCGGCGGCAACATCCCGGCCGCCAAGCCGCTGCTGCAGCAGATTTTCCCCAAGCTCTTCGGCACCTCGCGCCGCGACACCTCCAACGCCATCTACCTGCACTCGTCCCACGGCGAGCGCTCGCAGACCAAGGGCAGCCGGGCCATGGGCGGGTCGCACTTTGCACCCGATGCCAGCATGCGCACGCAGACGCACGTCGTGGGCGACAGCGGCAGCGAAGAGTACATCATGCAGGACCAGAAGATTACGAAGACGGTTGAGTTCAGCTTTGACGTGCAGAGCGCGAGGGACTCGGACGCCGATCTGCGGAGGTAGGGGGGGCTCGTTGAGTATAGGTTTAGCATAAGGCGCGGAACGTGGAAGCATGATAGCAGAAGAATGGTCGGATAAAACGCAATCACGATTGTAGTTTTTTTTTCTAGTCTTAAGTCTTGAATGAGATCTCGATCAATCAGATCTCCGATCATGTCAGCGTGCCGCCGGACGTCCGAAGCCGGTCCGGATTTGGAGGTGTGCCATTCTCAGCCGCGTGTGTGACTTTCTGTATTGGGCTTCAGCCGCTCGACATGGAGAGCTGCTGCTGTACAGGCCCACTCATGCAGCGGTCTGGTGTGTTTGTTTCTTTAGACAGATAGATTGTTCTCGACTTCTTCTCGACTCTACCTCCTTCTCGGATCTCACGCATTCACAGCAGTCGCGTATTGGCAGCTTCACCGCCGTCTGTGCAAACCAGTCATCGAACCGCAGCCCATTAAATCATTCTCCAGCCGAGCGAGCTGCCATGACTGTCCCAGACTCTACGCTCCCGCTCCCGCGCATCCTTTGCCTGCACGGCGGGGGCGTCAACGCCGAGATCTTCGCCCTCCAGGCGCGCGCCCTCATAGCGCGCCTCGCGCCGTATTTTCGCCTCGTCTTCGTCGACGGACCCTTCCTGTGCGCCGCCCACGAGGACATCGTCGCCGTCTATGGCGAGCTCGGCCCCTTCCGCCGCTGGCTGCCGTGGCTGCCGTCACACCCGGACGTCGACGCCGAGACGGCGTCGGCCGAGATCCGCTACAGCCTGCGCACCGCCATGGAGGGCGACGACGCCGCCGGCGCCACGGGGCCCTGGGTCGGCCTGCTGGGGTTCAGCCAGGGGGCCAAGATCGCCGCGAGCTGGCTGTACACGCAGCAGGTCCTCGGCGGTGGGGCGGCCACGGCGTTTCGGTTTGCCGTGCTGCTCGCGGGCCGGGCGCCGCTTGTCGTGCTCGAGGACGGGGTCGCCGTGCCGCCGGGCGTAGCGGATGCGTCGATGAGGAGCTCGCAGTTTGAGGGGCTGCCGGAGGGGATCACGGGCGATGCGCACGTGCTGAAGCTGCCAACTGTTCATGTGCACGGCCTGAGGGACCCTGGCCTCGAGCTGCATCGGGTCATGATGAAGTCCTACTGCGAGGAGGGCACAACGAGGTTGGTCGAGTGGAATGGCGGTCACCGGGTGCCGATCAAGCAGGCGGATGTCGATGCTGTTGTCGGGGAGATCTTGAGTCTGGGCAGAGAATTGGGATTGGTGGATGGTGTTGAGCTAGCATAGCGTCGGCATTGGTTTGCTTCTCGATAGGTTCTTGGAAACATTCGCGATATCACGTCCTTGCTCATGCTGTGAATAGGTTGGCAGCACACCTCGATTGAGCATGGTCACTCTTGTACGGACTATTCGTCATTAATCTCAAGGTGGAACACAGCTTAGACTTAGTGTAGCGCCATCTCGCGACGCTGGTGGAAGCCAAGCCAAACAAAGTCGTGAATCCAATTCCAGCCCGTGAGTCACTTCACCGAAGCGGGCACTGAAAAACGCTTCGTCGCCCACGGTCAGACATCGAAGACACCTTGTGTACCAACAACTCCTTCGTCGCCATGGCTGCTGTTCCCAACGTCCTTGTCACCGGCTCGGCCGGTCACCTTGGCTGCGCTCTCATGCTGTCGCTTGCCTCTCACGGCCACACCCCCATCGGCATTGACATGCTCGCCGCGGCCACGACGACGCACGTTGGATCGATCGCCGACCGCCCCTTTGTCGCCTCCATCTTCGCCCGCTACCCCTCCATCAAGCATGTCCTCCACGCCGCGACGCTGCACAAGCCGCACGTCGACTCGCACACCAAGACCGACTTTGTCAACGTCAACATGACCGGAACCCTGAATCTCCTTGAAGAAGCCTCGGCCCGCGGCCCGCAGATCGAGTCCTTCGTCTTCATCTCGACAACGTCCACCTTTGGCAGGGCTTTGAGCCCCCAAAAGGGCAGCCCCGCCGCCTGGATCGACGAGGCCGTCATTCCGATCCCCAAGAACATCTACGGCGTCACAAAGGTCGCCGCCGAGGATCTCTGCCGGCTGGTCCACGCACAGACACGCATGCCCGTCCTCGTGCTGCGCACGAGCCGCTTCTTCCCCGAACAGGACGACGACGAGGACAGGCGCAGCGCCATGGACGACGAGAACCTCAAGGTCCTCGAGCTGGCGTATCGGCGCGTCGACATTTCTGATGTCGTGTCCGCCTGCGTTTGCGCCATGGCGAGAGCACGGGATGTGGGGTGGGGGAAGTACATCATCAGCTCGCCGCCTCCGTTCCGTCGCGATGAGGAGACGCTGAGGGGATTGGATGCTGATGCTGGGGCTGCCTACAGAGCTGCGGTGCCGGGGATTGAGGCCGCGTTTGGGAGACGGGGCTGGGGGTTCTTGCCGAGGATTGATCGTGTGTATGATTCTTCCAAGGCGGTGGCCGAGCTAGGGTGGAAGCCTGAGTATACGATACAAAAGACGGTTGAGCGTCTGGCCAGAGATGAGGAGTGGAGGAGCGAGTTGACTTTCAAGGTTGGGAAAAGAGGGTATCACGTTGTGCCAACGGGGGTGTATACCACCCGTTGAGAGATAAACGACTTGTTAGCTATGTGTTTGTTGATGTGAGCATAGACACTCTTCATTCATGACTAGGTACTCGTGATTGCTTCCGACAAGAATGCCCGTGGAATGTTAGAAAGCTTGGCGGACGAACTGGGAGATCGTGGCTCCTTATTTGAGCCCTCAGACCTTTCCTCTAGGAGCTGGGGATCAATGAGTGTTTACAAAGATGCACAAATTTGCTAGGTCTCAGGATGCCTTTGGTGTGGCAGTGTTAATATAGCATATCTTCTGTCTGGGAGAGCTTGAAAGAGAAAGTTATGTGCAAGGCTGTCCCCACGATTGATCCGTTCAGAGCACTGAGAGTTGTTACCAAGCCTCGCATGGAAATACGCTTGTTTTTCAATATCGCAAAGATTTCATCTATGGAGAAGGAATATTGAATCTTGAGAGCATGACGATATGGGAGCGAAGGAATTACCTTCGCCGATACCGGAATGGGTGTGTCGGAAAATGAAGCATTTTCTGCATCGGAATCTGCAGACATGTCGCAGAAAATCCACATCACAAGATGAGCACAGCAAAGCCCAAAGGTCACAGGCACAAAAGTACCACTGATCATTGCCACAAATCCATAAATCCAAGACGCTACATCATCAACCAAAACATTCCCCGCAACTATGCACACGTCACGCCAACGGCCGCAGAAGATCCCCATGCCCCTCTGCCCTGACAGCATCCTGCACGGCAGCTAGGATCTCGGCATGCACGCCCGCCGGCGCGGCAACCCAACCAAAATTAGCAACCATCTTACGCCCCGCCGTCAGGTCGGGCTCCCTGCCATCGACGTCAGTCACCTTGCCGCCGGCCTCCTGGAACATGAGCATAGCGCCGGCGTGGTCCCAGATCTTGCCGAGGCGCTCCCTCTTCTTGTAGACCCAAAAGGTCACGTTGGCGTGGCCGAGGGCGAGGGAGGCCCAGCGCGGTACCCAGCCGAGGAGATCGTTGCCGGGATAGGCGAGACCCATGCGCGTGGCGATCTTCTCGTGGATGCCGGGGATGGACGAGTCGGCGTCCGTGCTCGTGACGAGGCGGTACGATGACGTGTCGGTGGGGTGCTGCGGGATGCGGGTGCCGGCCAGGTCGGCGGCCCCGGGCAGCGGCCGGAGGAACGACCCGCGCCCGCGGACGGCGTAGAGGAGGGAGCCGCCGTGCGGGTTCGGGTCGATGGTGTGATTCTGGATCGGGGGCGTGGCGTCGGGCGCGAGGTTCGGCAGGCCCACGACAGCGACAGTTTGCTTGCCGCCGACGAGAAGGCAGGCGTTGACGGCATAAATCTCGCCGCGAAGGTAGGTTTTTGTGCCGTCGATGGGGTCGAACACCCAGACCCGCCCCTTGTGAGGCTGGCCGAGGCCTGCACGGTCGATGAGCTCGCAGGTGTGGTCTGGCGACGTTGGGAAGCGGACGACCGAGGCACCGTCCTCACCCTCGACCTCGGCGGCTTTGACCTCTTGCAGAATCGCCCATACGGCCGCTAGCAAATCGGGGTTTGCTCGCAGGTCGTCGGCAGCCTCCTCGCCAACAAAGGAGTCACTAGGAAAGGCAGCCGTAAGGGTGGCGGTGAGGATGGCCTGGCAAGCAAAGTCGGCCACGGTGACAGGGCTGTGGTCATCCTTGTCGATGTGTCCCACGCGGTTGTTGGCAGCGGCCAGGACGATTTTTGATAACTTCGCAGCGCGTTGAACGGCCGATATCGTTGTCGTGAGCTCGGCGAGGTACTCTGAGTCCATGGTCGACGAGGGGGGTAGGGGCCGCCCAGGGAGCCTAGCTATGGTATCTTTTGATGGTAACGAGGGGTGTTCCACTGGATCGGTGCCGTACGTCTTTGCTGAGGCTCAATACTGATTGAGAATAAGTTCGACCGAGAAGATCTGGCGGGCGAGCCCAATTGACAGAATTGTGGGTGAATTGAAGATTGAGGCAATAGATAGAGATGAGTCTGATGCGAGCTGAACTGAAGTGAAGCGAAGCGAACCCGATGGGTGCAAGAGTGAAAATCCGTGGTAGTGACGTTTTGTGGGGCCACCGTCATCGGCTCCTGCCCCGCAAGGGACTGATCTGGGTGCGCCTGCCGTTTGTCAAGCTGTGGGCAGCAACACGCTGAGGGACCGTCATCGTCATTGAGGGCATCACGAGGCAATGGCGAGATGAATGATGCACTTTGCTCCTTCCGACTCTCGGCCTCGGCCCTAGCCCCTATGGCCACGAAATCATATATCAACTCTCAATTAACCGGACAAAAGAGACAAGAGAAAAATCCAGACTGGACAAGGATCTCTTGCCATCACACGCTGACCTCTTAGGCTTCATTCCCTAGGGTCCTCCACCAGCACAGCACCGTTAGTCGTATTGCCGAATTCCCGGCTCGAAGAGGGGTTTGACTAGCAGCGCCAGTTAGCACAAATCCCCTCCATTTCCATACCCGAGTAACGAAACAAACTCACCCTGCTCCCACGTCAACAGCGGCTCCTTGCTCGCCACAAGGTCCCACCAAACCCGCAGACACCACGTCCCCACGAGCGCGTCCCTGCGACTCTGCGCCATGGGCTCGACAATCTGCAGCCGCACGATGCCGTCCTCGTACGTGTCGTACGCCAGCAGCGGCCCGCCCTTCTCCCCCTCGCGCCACTCCCACCGGCCCGCCGCCGTGGCCTTGATCGAGAAGAGCACGTCGCCGCCCTTGAGCTCGCCCGCCACCCCGTTGGGCCGCGTCACGCGCAGGGCGCGGTACTCGGTCGAGCCAGCCATCTTGTGGCGCTTTTTGAACCCGACGTGGCCGAGGTTGCTACGCCGGACGGACTCGAGGTAGAAGGGGAAATTGGACTGCATGATCGCCGTCGGCCGCGACAGGTTGTACAGGTGCTTTTGGCGCGCCGCAACCTCGGGGCCCCGATCGCCCGCTGTAGCGGCGCTGGCGCCGGCGCGGCGGACGTGGTAGTCGAGGCGCGAGAGCTCGACCTTCTGGTGCGATGGCGTGAGGTGGCCGAGGGCGAGGGAGAGTTCGTAGAGGGGTGGTGATGTGATGGAGGCGGTGCTGTGGATGGTGGTCCCCGCGAGGAGCAGCGTCTCGGGGGGTATCACGTCGTCTTGGACCGTGGATGCCGTGTCGGCGTACGGAGGCAGGCCGTTGTCGGACGATGCCGAGGGCGAGCGTGACCGTCCTCCATGGCCCAGATTGGCATCGAGCATCTTGCTCGGCTTGCCAGCCATGGTGTCGTGGGTGCTGTGCTAGACGCTGATGCGGCCGGTGATTTATTGCAGTGATTTGTGGCAGTACCAATGAAGAGGACTGAAGGGGGTGAAAACGACCATTCAACAAAAGGAGTCGTCTTGCGCCACGGATGGGGTGCGCTTGGTCCGACAGTCGATGTTTAATGACTCTTGGCAGATCGCGACCAAGTGGCTCAGCTATCACATCACATCACTCTGGAAGCTCACGGTTTGTGATGAGAGCACCATGCTTTTAGAGGCCTCCATCTCGGCCTCGGCATCAATCTCATTAGCGTGACAGAGCTGGCGTGACCAGGTTTCCCAAGTCCCCCCCCAAGGCGAATAACACACCATCATACGAATGGAGCTGTAGGCTGGAACAGCTCGTCATTGTGCAGCATATGTCTTGATGGTGAATACTGGCAGGAGACATGCTCAGGCATCAAGCTTCTAGGCCTCCAAATCAGGCCGTAGGGGTTCCCTTCAGGGTCATCGCTCAGCGGTCGCTGTCCATCTGGGCCTGCCGCTTGTGGTAAAACCTACTGCAGTGCAGCGGTCAGAGAGCGCTAAACCTCTGTAAGCACCAAGATGCCCCGCCGCCTAAGATAGATCGG